ACTAAATTTAGATAAATCAATTCGTGTAGTTGAAAGACTACAACAAAATGCGATCTAAAAATACCCGACAAGACAAAGTTGCAAAGAGCAATAAATATTTAATACCGCCGCCGACGACGGTCCCCCAAATGACACCTTCAAGAGCGACGCTGTTAATAAGGAAGTACGGAGACTTTTGTGAAAGGAGTTTACCACTAGGGAAGTAAACGCCCACCATTCAACTATTCTCTATTCAAATTCAAAGCGGCGAGAGTTAACACGGATTTTAACTTTTATAGATCTAAGAAGATTACACGCGTTCGCAGTCAAAGGAAAACTTTTAGTCTGATCGTGGTGTAGTTAAGATTCATTCCGCTCAAATCGTCGTGAATAATTCAACCCCTTCGAGTAGATGGATATCAAGATTCGATCGTCGACGGCATCAATTCTGCGTACAATTTTTTCTTGTGTAAATTCCGTCCCTCAGAAGATTAGAGATCTCGGTATAGGATGTCGTCTTTTTAACACATTTCAATCAAAAAGCTTATGTCAGGAAGTAAACCCCCCACGTGTCCCTTTGGGAGTGAACGAGAAAGTAAAAAGTTCAACCCCTCTTAGTTTTCAAAATATTAAATAGCTAAACAATTGCTTGCTCCAAGCATAACAAAGAGGTTCTATACCACCGATTTAGCAACAATATAATATGTAGGCGTCACCTTCTCTTTGTGAGTCAAACTTAAAAAAATAAAATAAAAATTTGAAAATATTCGCTAGCTTAAGAGATACGGGGTAAAAAAAGTTGTCGGATTTAACCTCATTTTTTTTAATGGAACATTCTATGTATTTTAATCTACAAAAATTATTATTATCTAAATTGTCTTCAAAAATATCACGAGGATAATACTTACAGTAAAAAGATTTTAAAAAGTTCAAATGATTTAATTAAAAAAACCAGAAGTTTCAAATTTTTGAATTTTTCAAAAACTTTTTAAATATTTTTAATCAAAATTTTTTAGTGTTACATTTTTAAAAAGAGAATTTAAAATACAATTTCTTTAGATTAAAATATAGGTACAGGTTAGGTCCGACAAGTTTTCTAACTGACCCCGTATACATATTTTGATGGCAGCTTATTCAACAATCATTATACAGTTTTTGTCGAGGAATAAGATCAAAACTGCATATTTTGGTTACCTATTTTTTAAATGTTTGTATTGCGGCCTGAAATTCGTCAGTGCAATGAAAAATTTATAAAATTAGAAGAAACAAAACTGTATAACAAATGGCAGTCACACTTTAAAACTGGGTACATTTTTTTAAAATTGCAATTGAAAAGTTTAATGTGCTGTACACGTGTGCATTGTTAAATGCATTCCAATTATTACACAGTTTTTGCTTTTTCTAGTTTTATACATTTTTCATTGCTCTGATGAAGGACTAATGACAGTCCGAAATTTAAGCACTTGAAAAATAGTAACTAAACCAAAATATGCAGTTTTGATTGGTAAAATCCTCGGTAAAATGTTCTTGGTGCGTTAAATAAACATTTTTCTGTATCTCTTTTAACCATAGAATTACTTAACTAAGAAAATATAGATAGTCATTCTGTCTTAGGCGAGCGAATATTTCCAAATTTTGATTTTCCTGTTTGTTTGATTCAAAAAAGCGCATACTTAACGTCTATTTTACTTTTTTGATAGCACTAACAATTAGGGATACGGATAAAAGTGTCGAAAGTGGAACACCCTGTACAGGGTGTTTTTTGGGAGCTTTAGTTAAATGTTTCTGGGAAAGTAAAATAGGTAGGTTTTTGAACATTTGAACTTAGGAGTTACTCTGAAGGCCGAATCGATGTAAAATATTTTCAAAATGACCGCACTTCCGGGAACACCGGAAGTAGATAGTAACTTCGTTATTTTAAATGGCAACCCCTATTTTTTATTGCATTTTTGGATTCTACGTGAAATTTCAATCCTTTTGATACCCATATGTCGATATCTGCCATTTATGGTTTTTAAGTTATTTTGACTTTAAGAAAAAAAATGGCGGATGCAGACGGTACCTTGATAATTGATTACTTGAAAACGGTTGTAGTCATGGCAACCCATTTTTATCAGTGCATAGAGAATGGCCCGTATGAATAAAAGTAAGCAAATGCTTATACTTGCAAAATTCAAAGTAAATACTCGTAACTGTCCCTTCATACTAGTCTGTTTAGCATGGTTTAGCAGCGGTGCACTGCGTCCTGTCCTTCTGCTTAGAAGCGCTGCTAAGTCGCCCAGTGCGAAGGAGCACTTATGAGTATTTACTTTGAATTTTGCAAGTATAAGCATTTGCTTACTTTTATTCATACGGGCCAATGAATAGGGCTTTATTTTAGTGTACTTAAAAAAAAGTTAAGTTGCGTACAACCGCACCTATGGAGATCCAAATTTAAGAAACTTTAAAGTCTAAAAACTCAGTTTTTTTTAATGGAATGACCATGTTCTTACTATTGCATGAGATAGAGAATCGAAATTGGCATATTTTGATATTACATGTTCCTTCTTTATAGTAAATGTGATGAGTGATAGAGGGCGCTGTTTGACATCAACATAAACTTTGAAAGCTTTCTGGAAAATTTCAAATGGAACGATATAATTATTATACGAAATTATCAAATAAGATGAAAAAGTGGAAATATCAATGAAAACCGCATTTTGATATCTGATTCCTAAGCAAAGATATGGCAAAAATACGTACATTCGCAAATTTAAATTGCAATATTTACATTCATCCAAGTTGGCTTTAAAACAAAAGAACAAATGAAGATATTTGAATTATTTTTTTTCCAAAATGTTTGATAAATATAATATGTACTTCAAAAAATAACTTACAAACTATACGGTTTTTAAGGATTTGTATAAAGCATAAGTCTTAACCAATATGTAAAAACTGTACATAAAAGTGTTCAGAAATTCATACAAAATTTGGCCAAGCAACCAGAAAGCAAATTTTATTTAAAATATTAACCCAAAAAATTGTTCACCGATATTTCCTTTTTTTTTGAAAATCTGTGCTTGAATAAAAGTTGAAAAGACAAATGCTTTAGATTGTTGAAATTAAAAATTTTGAATGTTCTTTTCTCATACTTCTCCACGTACTTAATTATTATTAATGATCACGGAGCTTAATGATAGTTAAAAAGACTAAAAATACACATAATGTTTCCGTTGCGGTAAATGTCGTGGTCATTTGTAAAAGGTAAAGTAGGATAACGAAACCATTAAGCAGCAGGCAAAGTAAGCGACCCAAAACTACCATTAATAATTATTTTCTATTCGAGGAATAAAAAGCCCACGCCACAGAGTCGATTAATGTGAAAATGTGGACAAAATTTAATTCAAAGTAATTATACAGGGTCTTTCATTGGATGATCGAAACATAAAGATTAGAAATCGTTTAGAAAAGTCGACGGACACCAAATGCATCCAAGAAATAGTCAGTTACTTAAATTTAAATTTAAAATATTCCGCATTCATGGTTCTCAACGTGCTGAGCTTAAAATTAATAGGGTTCATCATTCATTTTTGGCATGAAGTTCATAGTTGGAATGGAATTATGAACATACCATGTAATTGACAATTCGCTTAATTAGACATTTGAGTTTTTAATTAATTAATTAATATCGTTAGTTCACTATGAAAAATCATTAAGAAGTAGGCAATAGAAACAAAGATTTATCGCATGTTGCCGAGGGGAAAATCGCTGTAAAATTTTTGTCTACAGTACTAGCACTTGTAGAATTTTTAAGATATTTCAAAATTTTCTAGATTTTTTTCCCGAACACACAAGCACACATAATTATTATTTTATATATAATTTTCTAGAATTTTTTTAGAATTTCTTACAACTCTGACACCTCTTGACAATTACTTTGATTATTTATAAAAGATATCTTTTTGAAATTTTAGTCAAAGATTCTTCTAGAAAAGGCAACCATATCGCATATTTTAAACATCCGCTGCGCCCATATGCTAAGTTTCTTTATTTTAGAAATATTTATGCTTCAACCTATTTTCCTTGGTATACACAATATACATACATGGACCGTTATTTTGAGAAATACTAATCAATTCATAGAAAATGCGCTAAGGCGAAAATTTTTTTTATTTTTTTGTTAAACATTCCATGTTCTAAGTAATTAGCGAGCAAGCAAAACCGATTACATTTCTTGGTTAAAAATCGTTTGAAGATGAATAGGATACCAACTGTTTTGATTGGTGAATTTTTGAACATTTTTATTTTTACAAACGTATTTACATTTACATTGTTAAAAAATTAATCATTAATATTGATTTTTGTAAATGACTGTAGTGTCTTCTTTCGTTGTTCATTAGATTATGGAGACGGTTACAGATAAACAAGTATTACGGGAAAAATATTTTTAATCATATCCATTTCACCCCCCGCCCCCACTATCACAGAAATAAATCAATTATTGTTGCAATCAATTGTGTTTCGATAGGTCATCATTTGTACTTTTTCTGTATTGGAAATTTTTTGTGTAATTATTCGGGGGATGAAAGGACGTCCAGCTCCTTCAAAACTTTAAATTTTTTTAATTCCAAATATAAATATGGCATTAATACTATTTCACTTGTGACTTATTTTACATAGCCCAAAATGTATTGCTTGAGACATATGCCAAAAAATTCCGAACTAATTTTGAAACATACATATAAAGGAACTATGAGACGTTTACCTTTTGTTTGGGGAAATGTTTCAAAATTAGAGTTTCTTCTTTAGTTTTTGCCTGCGACCATAGCCTGCGTTTTTAGGGAAAATTACATTGAGGCTATTTTGAACAGTACTTAGATAAAAAGAAGCAATTGCGCATTATAATAAATAGGAGTGTCGGTTGTTGCCCGAAAAACAACCGCGTTTGGTGCCAAACGGAAAATTTTCGATTATTTACCTGCTCGTTAGCGGTGACCTTAATTAATGCAAATTATCGTAAATACGAGAAAACGCTCACTTACTTTTCGTACTGCGCCATTTCTTAATGTAGTTCAAAATTTTGAGATAGGGGGAAGGTTGGGCGTCCTCCCTTTCCAATTTGCCCGTATAGGATTTCGAAGCGGCACTTTTCGCTTTCTGTCTCGGTTTCGGTATGTCCGCCGTGGACAGCGAGCGATTTCTTCCCTGAACTTTTACATTGTAAACGGAGACCGACATCGATCTCCCGTACTTCACGGGTTGAATGTAATCAACAGGTCCAGGAACTTGCAGTTGTTCGGGGTTACATGAACAGTTTTTCTGCGACGCGGTTTCTTTTGGTTGCGGTTCATCGTCTGATTTGATTATTTTTATTTCGGGTTGTCGGCCCGGCACGTTCGTTGATTCTTCCGACCACATTTTGGCACAATTCTTTGGGGCCATTATACACTTGGTCTTTAACTTTACGCACTATAGGAACAGTTTCACATATTCACTTCACCAAATTGATTTCAACTGACTTCCCAAGCCGCTACGCTAAGTATATACGTCACATTGAAAGTTGTTAATTAAAGACAAATAGTAAAAGAGTAAACATTATTTGGTAAAAATAGCACAAATATATTTTTTAGCAAGTTTTTTAACTGAAGGACGCCGCCCGATCGGCCACAAGGGAACTACTAAAATATACCCAGTACAAGTAAACTCATCATTTCACTTACGGTTTATGCCGCAATAAAATTAGACAGACGGTTTAAAGTACTTGACGTAATACCAACACCAACTCAACATAAAAATAAAATTATTTACGCATTGTCGGGTGAAGCTAATTAGCTGATTAAAACGCTTGCCACAATGACGTAGTTAGCAGACGAGCGCAAGAGGAGGCGCGTATGTTTCGAAGACAAATTCTATAAAAATAAAAATTATGAAATCGCACGATAACAACGATGATTGAGTCAGACAAATTACTGACCTCACTTACTTTAATCTTTTATCGAAGTTTAACTCATAAGTTAAGGGGTGTTCTAGTTAAATAATGTACTTTCATTTAATGCCCAATAAAATTGTACTAAACCGTTAAGGCACAACTATTAAATATATGCCAAGTTTGGTACTAGTGTCATTAATTAAGACACTGTCACGTATCCTACGTACAAGAATGTTGACAAGCATAGCAATTACTTATAGTAACTTCACTACTACGGAGATTTCCGAAACTTGTTTTTTTAATCTATGCCGAAACCGTAGAAGATACGAGGATGGTCAAATTAGAAAAAAAGACCCGCAATTAAACAAAATAAAAAACATTTTCCCTTTGAATGTTTTTGAGCTCTACAAGATACCGTTAAGATTTCAATACAACGTTCCCTCGAACGTTCCATTTCGGAGAAATCATCAACTTTATTTTTTTATATGGCCCGTAGAAAAAACACACTGTATGGAGTAGCAGTTTTTATTACGAATACAAGGATACATGATGGCACATAAAAATTTCTGGAAAGTTGTTAGATAGGTATTCTTGCACAATTCGGACATGTGCGCGGATGCACCATCTTGTTGAAACCAACAGTTTGCAACTTTTGTTTTTTTTTGTGTGTCGTACATTGTTTTATTAGTAATAATGCTACTCGTAATGCTACTCAATACAGTATGTACGTTGTTTTAGATATTGACCCTCTTATCTCGAACGCACTGTATATAGATTTAACGATGAATAACCTATGATCGACTAAAGAATAATTATTAAATTGATCAAAAAATTAACTAAGCCTGCTTGATTGAAATGTAAAAATAGTCAAGTTTTACTAAAACTACTCGTATTTATTCATCATATATCTTACTGAGACACCCTATACATAATTTTTCGTCGAAGGTGGGTCACTACTTTATAAGCGCATGTTTCAAGAAATGAACAAGTACTGATCAAGGGAGAAACAAATAACATTAGCTGTACAGGGTGACCGATTTTCGACACCGCTCTAAGGTATCTCCGTAATTGTTAGTAATATATGCGCAATTTGCTCCTTTTGGGTCCAACTTAAAATGGCAACATAAAAAATGCCGATTTCAGTATCACCCTGTATGTTCTTAACTAGAAGAGATACAGAAAAATGTCTATTATTTCATATTTCATTATAAGGATTGATGATTAATCTGCAGTTTTAATAAGTATACGGCGTAAGGCATCGGACCAAACCTAATTTTTTTAATGGAACTTCCTATATATTTTACTCTAAAAAGATATTAAATTCTCTTTTCAAAAATGTAACACACTAGGGATGAAACAAATTCAATGGACTCGCATAGATTTTAAAAAAAATTAAAAAAAGGGTTGATTCAAAAAATACACCACAATTTAAAAAAGATTGTTGATTTTCCTAAAATTATTTTTGGATGTTATATACAGGGTGGCCGACAGGAACCTGACGTTTTTGTGACGGCCAGTCTACTTCTAGGAGGTTTAGGAAACCGAATTACCAAGCATCAATATCGCCATTCAATGCCGTTTCAGTAGCGATGGATCACTGGACAATTGAGCATCGCATGTTTATGACGCATTTGTGCAAAATGGCGAGTCTGTTATTATGAAGCCACTTCTTCGTGTGCGCCATGGTACCGTTTCCAGCCGCAACACGATTCCTGTGTTAATGTAATCTACGGATAACAGGCTTCCATTGTGAAAAAGAAACTACCACGTCCAACACGATTGTGTCGCACACGAAAAAGTCGCTTAGACTCGCAATTTTGCACAAAATGCGATACTCAATTGTCCACCACACCATCGCTAGTGAACGGCATCGAATGGCGAGATTAATGCTGCAGCGGAGTACTGGCCGTCTCAAAACGCGATATTCCCGTCGGACATCCTGTATTTGAAAAAGAAATTTAATATGCTATTTTTTAATATTAAATATAAGGTGTTTTATTTAAAAAATAAGATTAGGTCCTAAAACTTTTTTCCGTGAGCCCGTATACTTATTTTGAAAATTCCCCGTATCTCTTCAGCGAGCGAATATTTTAGAATTTCGAATTTACAATTTTTAAGTTTGACCCAAAAAGACTTTTTTGATAGCACTAACAATTGCGAAGATGCCTAACCTATGAAAGTGTCGAGAATGAGTCACCCTGATCATAAATACTTTCAAAATGTTTCAAAAAGTTTAATGCAAAAGTTGTTTCTCCGAGCATAATGTTTCAAATTTCGTAGTATACATGCTGCCCCAAAAACTAATTCTAAATGGGACACACTGTATTTTATTTGGTTTTTAGAGTCTACGTGACGTACTAAGACAAATTTATTAAAGATAGATCTTTAATATGTTTGCCGTTTTTGAGATAAATGCTATTGAATTTGAAAAAATCGAAATCTGATTGTATCTTGATAACTATCAAATAGAGATTGCTTTACAGCTTCTGTCTGAGCAAAAAGACGTGAAACGCGTATTTAAATAATTATAAAAATGTAGTTGGCCATGCAAAAACAAATATGTTATCAAGATACAAAGCCTCAAATTTAGATTCTTTTAAAATTCAACAACCTTTAACTCAAAAACAGTAAAAAATATTATAGATATATCTTCTATAGGTTTGTCTTAGAATTTAACGTAGGTTCTAAAAATCCCACTTAGAATTTTCAAGTGAAAGCTGTGAACCGATTTTGGGACAGCCTGTACGAATAATCCTACCAAATTAGAAAAATTGTGCCTAGGTCGACCAAGTTTCGTATTAATCTTATTTTTGCAGAACCTGAGACAAAATGAATTAGAAGGGGGGGGGGGGGATAATAGGGAAAACAGGAGGGTATTGACACATTACAGAGACAAGGAAACAAGATCTCAAACCCACAATTCAAAAGAATTCACAACTCTCATCATAACTTTATAATAAAGTAGCCATCAAACACAGCTACAACCGAATAACCGACATGCATCTGGGAGAGATCATTACATATTTCCTCGACTAAAAACGAATTGATTTTACACCCAACCACGCGCATTTTTACCACAACACAAAATATGACGCACTCAATAAGCAAATTTACCATCTTAATACGTGGATCCATTCAAGGAGTCGAAATTGAGTTCGAAAATAAGCTTTAGAAAGATGTTCTGAAATATATACGCGTCTAAAAAAGAGAAAAGCCCCGTGCGTCGAGCAAAATCAAGATCGCCTCTTCTAGGAAAATGTGCGCGCTTTACAAAGCTTTGGTTCGGTGAAATTGTATGTACAACTTTCGGAGAACACTAAACATCATTTGTCATTACGAAAATGCGGGACAGTTCCGCATTCGTCCTTGCCGGTTGCTGGGATCGATCGTGTGATTCTGCGGAATTTCCTTGTAATTGTTTGAGAATAGTTACGCAACTGCTTGAGAACTATCTCCTCGTCGAGATGTGGTCTTCCAAGTGCAACTAAATCTTATATAACAATGCATATATATCATCAGTCGGACGAATCATTAAGTTAACAAAAAAAAAATCAGAAATGGGTCAGTGTTACCTATCATGGTACATATGTCAAATGACAGAGCTGTTTGGGAGAATGCCAAATTCTGATATTGTTAGTTAATGACGCCAATAATTTTTATGAAACAAGGATGGCATACTAAAATTTTCCGGAGAGTGAACAATAAAATTCAAACAAAACGTTTGGGGAGCGTTGGGAAACAGAATCAGATTTCAGATTCCTCTTCTTTTGCGTCTGTGTAAGTTGAGAACCAGAGGCGTACTGGAAGATACACGAGTACGAAAAGTATACTGAAGACAAATGGAGGCTTCAAATGCGTTTTAGATAACATACAAAACTTCCCCCTAAATGTTTTCCAGCTGACTAAGTTCCTAACTTCTACGTTCGTTCTTTGTAAGGAAAAACTCTCTCGTGTTTCTCCCTTGATTTAAACTTCGTATTACTTTTGGGGATAATCGCATTATTTGTGACGTATGAAATTTAATTAATTTAATTTCGAGAAAACATGTTTTAGACAATTTCACTCCACTTAGGGAAGCTTGATGGCAATCCATATATTGCAACAACTATCACGTCAGCTGAAAATCGTTTGTGCGAAAATGTTTACTTGAAAATACCAAAAAACACATGGGGCTTACGGTCACTGAGAAAATAAAAATTCAAGCCTTTTATAATTCAGTCAAATGACTGTCAATGACAATTGTCTGTCAACAATATCGGAAGTCAAACATGGTGTGCCACAAGGATCAGTTTTGGGGCCAATTTTATTTCTTATATATATTAACGATCTTCCAAATTGTGATCCAAATACACGTCATATTATCTTTGCTGACGATACAACCCTAATTAATCTATATGACAATGTACAAAATATTGAACCCGGTACGAACTCAGCTGTAAGTAAGGTAGAAGAATGGCTCAAGTCAAATAAATTGCTAATGAATAAAGCTAAAACTCAACATTTGGTATTAACCCTTAAGCGAATGCAGAGAGCTTGGATTATTGGGCGTAACACTTGATTCGGAGTTGAAGTGGGACCAACATGTTAACGTTCAGCGTGTTAAATTAGCTAGAGCACTATTTTTGATTCGCAATTTAATAAGGGTGACTACGAAGGAAACTGTTATGGCAGCATACTATGGCATATTTCATTCGGTATTATCTTATGCAATTCTTGCATGGGGCCATTCTGCCCACTCTCGAG